GATAAAAGATGAGGCGTCCAGCAGTGATCAATCCCTGGTAAGTGCGTCATGCACTCGACTTCGTCAAACATCATTATCGGCGAATTGTTTACCTTGACGCAATAACTTGCCTACCGATGTATTATATCAGCACTTCTGTACTCTAAGAGAAGTCTGGCACCACTTGGTCAACCCTGAAAGGATGGTATGTTTGGTGAGCTCAGAGTATAGATAGAGAGATACCGCAGTATTGAACTAGGGACGAGTGCAACTCTAACCACTGCGCTACATACATCCATACATGTAGAGATCCCTGGAATAAAATCACACTTGTTTGCTAAATTCTCTGAATAAAAATATGAATCACCGCAAACACCAACACTATTTGATAAGCGATGTCAAACAGTACACAATATATTTAGTGTCCTTAAAATATTGAGTAAGACTTCTTCAAAAGAATGCTCATTATCGTCGAACACTTGGGTTGCGCTATAAAAATATTAAACATCTACATCCAAAAGTGAGTAAGCATTCAATATATATGTCCTAATATCATGATATATGGATTACGACGTCGTACTACGACATCAGACCCCTGATTCCAACCCTGTAATCAACCGTACTATTAATTCGATTTCACAAAACTTAGAACATAATTATTTCACCATGATTCTTCAAAACACACATTCCACTTGAAATGCTTTTATCAGCCTTGTGTCGTTAGTCTTGTCCTGCAGTCACAGCGCTGAAGCTGAACTAACAAAACATCACCATGCTGGGAATGGAGCTCAACAACAACAATGGAAAGGCAAAACTACCGGGTCATTCGGTTGCGAAGAATGATGGGATAAATAGGAAGCGCGTAAACAACAGCGCCTTTCTACAAGCGGAACGACGGAACAACCATGACTAACCTAGGCCTGCAATAAGACAAACACAAAACACACATAAAGGGACATGTATATGTACTTAGATGAATGAAAAAAACGAACGAACGAACATGAACCGTATTATGAGATCCGGTAAACGTTTAAACGCTACAAATAAGGAAGGAGATAGAAGTTATCAACAAAGTAGAGTATAATAATAACAGGTACAGAAATAAACGGTACGGGATAAGGATGAGACAGTGCACGAAAGAATTTTGGAAAGCGAGTACCGACAACTCAGAGACAGGTTGACAAACTGGGATTTAAGCTATCAGAATCTTCACGATGAATTAGAAATTTGCACAGCAAGAGGGTTTTGAAACCAAGAGATACATACATACTCCCGAACAGACTCTATTACCCCATTGAAAAATTAATTCATTGCATGATGTGGAGTAGAACACAGATAGTAGATGATGCTGGAAACTAATCGATAAAGATAGAGCAAAACTATGCAGAGAACAGGTCGATCGATGTTAAAGGTTCAGAATGTGGACATAAGGACGACTTGGTGATAAAATAGGCGACGATATCGAGTTGTGTTGATGACGACACGACGTCGGTAGTGATGGTGATCAGTGGAGTAATGATAAAGTTTGACTAGTTGGAACGTGCCGGATTAGCTGGTGCACCAAATTTTCCCATACGAGACGTAAGAACCGGATCGTGGGGCGACAACGCACACGACAAACCTGACGTGCTCATGTTTCCACGAGATGACTGCTCGAACAGCACGTGCTCCCCAGTCGGGGATGAATGGTGCTGTTGAAGCGCGGTGTAGCTAAATCGTATTATTATGAATAATGGAAGATGTCCTCAGTCTACTGACTCAAATAAAGCAATGCTTTCAAGTACAACTCGAATGGGACAAAGAAATAGAAAATAATAAAGACCAAATCTAAGAACTCCAAAAAAAATTTTTAAAAACAAATACGAGTTATTACTAATATCAAGTGATTTCTAGATTCATTTCCATATTATGACCTTCATAAAAGGTTCTGAAAACTGCAAGATATCTTAACTAGAAAATAACAACAGTGCATAAAAATTGGAAAACCTACAGATTTCCGTAAGCAACTCCAATGTGGGGCGAAGAAACATTGTTGGTCGACATGTTTTGTTCCATTTTCTGGGACTGACTGATCGATAACTGATAGGCAGAGATATTCTGATGGGCTTGTTGCTGCTGTTGAGGCGAAATTTTTTCTTGTGAGCCAAGTGAAGTTGATGGTGGACGAGCAACAGAGACCGACAACGGCATTCCGGAAGAGGTTTCAAACGCTCGAAGCTGGCCTGAAAAAAAAAAGAATAACATTTCAACTTAAATGACAAGAAACAAGATAAGCAAAAATTTAAGGATAACGTATTGGTACAAAGATGGCAATGTAATGGTTACATGAATGCTCCCTATTCCAGGTCTTCTGAAGATTCTTTCTTTATTGTCAAAGATTGACATAGATGTATTTAATGGACAATGCTTCAAATTCTACCTGAAAACATTTAAAGCCATGGGGTCTAACAGTAAGTTCCTCACTGTCGCTTACCGTCTCAGCACAGCGAAAGCTTATTTTTACGCAACGATCTGTGAATAATTTCTCTTTGACTTAAATTACACACAGTTTTAGGTTTCATTACTGTAACACTACTGCAATTTTGATGACCTCCCATTTTTCCTCTATTTCTCCATGTGAATGGATTAAATCCGCAACGGTTTGAGTCTAAACGTGGCAGTGGGATCATTTTAGATGTGGAACTCCAATGTAACCAGATGTGTGTCCTCCAACAAGACATTGTAAGCTGAGAATATGCTCGAAATTTCTAGTTGTGTGCCCGGCTAAGAGTAAACAGTGCAAGGAATCTATGTCATTCTTCTAACAGTACCCTCATTAGCCAATAAGGGGTGGAAAAGCCTCACTATGACTCTGAGGTTCCAGCGACAGAAAATCTTCCCTTACTAGACAACAACGAGTAATATATAAATTGCGCTCAGTTCCACATGATTCTTCAGAATTTGTAAAGACATGCTACTTAGATACTCTAGCAAAGTTGTTAATAAGACTATTAGAGTGAGGTAAGTGAAAAAGACGCTGAACAGCAGTATCTTTGAAACAGAAATTCCAACGAAAAAAAAAACCTTAATTAACTAGTAATTGACCGATCTTACAGAAACTGTGCTGTATCCAGGACCATATTTTCACGTATCATGAAGATCATCCATTAAAATATTCAGATGAACTGATTAGTAATAGTAATATTATAAAACAAGGGCAAGCATGGCACAATAGTCGGAAGCGCTCTGCAATACATATGGGATCGAACATAGTGCCCCACGTGCACCAACTCTTCCATCCCTCCGGGATTGGCAAATTGGTACCAGACTTGTCTGGGAGGATAGCGGCACTGGCTCGATACATCGGTAGGCCACTGCGAGTTATTGTAAAGACCAGATTTGCATTCAATCACCTCCAACGATGCTTGATGAAGTTGAATGCATGCATGGTGTACCTCTCAGAGAGTGATCAACGCCGACAGCTTTATTCTTTATTTATTTTCAATACTATAAAACAATGTTTCTTATATGAGCTGTAGTCTGGTTGAAACAATTACTTCACAGCCAGTTACTTCTTCCCTGCGAACTACCACTAATGAGATGCCATGACGTTGTGAACATGTTTTTTCAACGCTCACACACCCACCTAAATTATGTATCGATATTCATATTTATCGAAGTTTACAACGAAAAAAAAAACGCTTTGAGTAAGGCAAAGTAGCCGAAATAGGAAGCAATAGGAACCAGAAACTTGTTAGTAACCTAGCCTCAGAAAACCATTCAAACACAGGTCAAAGTAACGAAACAAACTATTTGTTAGTGCTGAAATTAACTGATACTAAGTTTTTCGAATAATAGCAACAACATTTCACGAAAGTGGACAGTCTGTGCCGAAAAGAAGTTAAGTTCGTATCCACCCGAAAGGCTAAACGATAGCAACTCTTCATCAGAAACAGCAGCTGAACTAACACAATAAATTACAAGTAAGGAATCCTCTTCGCGCTCCATAAAGCCCATCGATTACAGTTACAACATCAAAATAACTCTCTATTCTTGCTATTCTCTTTTTGTTGAGCAAACACAAGATGTATTTTATTCTTTATTCCGGCAAAGCTAACGTTTCGGCGGTATCGCCTTCTTCAGAACCTGGAAGGGGATACTGATACGTAACTGATTACGCTTGATTACCACTCAGATTTCTATCTTTCTGTTTGTGTTACTGAACCGCTTGGCACAACAAATTGCGAATATACCTTTCCAGGCTCTGAACAAGGGCATACTCCCGAAAAGTCAGCTTTTCCGGAATAAACAATAAAGTAAGATCTAGTGTTTGTTCAACAAGAATAGAACATTATCTGTTATCTGACCAATGCCGAAGTAAACAGTAAGTCGATCATGAGAACATCAAAAAGTAATATAAGAGTAAACGAATTGTTTATGTATTCTAATAGCTATTTTATCACACGCAAAAACCGCAAGCAGAAAGTACTCGACGTTGACTAATCGCTTGGAGATAGGTTATGCATTTGACTTCAGTAAGTATCGTAGAGGTGAATGAATGCATATTTGACCTGTATGACTTAATATGGAAGCCAAACGATGTAACAACTCAGTGTTTTTGTCCTAACAAACAAGCCTATTGCCAATTTGCCGAACCAGAAAAATTGTCCGGACCACGGGAATGAATCAACTACCTTGTGTGCACTTAGGTACATCTTCTAATCGCTGCCCCATACGCGGCGCCTTTAACACGCATATCGAATATGGTGCTGAGAAAATTAAGATCCATAATGGAGAGGAAAAATGTGTTTGAAAGTGGATATTATGGTTTGCTTTAGAAAGACAAACGATCTCCTCTATCTATACATTTGATCACATAAGTAAAGTAAGAAAAGCAACCATTGCATTGCGTTCAGCGATTTTGCAAACCTGACTTAGAATCCATCAGTACCACAGCAAAAATGAGTCTCGAGTTTTTCGACATTGTTCAAAAAAAATCCAAACCAAAGGCTACCATTGTCGGCTACCTTACATTCGACATGTCACAATGAACTCATTATTAGGAAAAGAAAAGTGCAAGAAACAAATACTGCTAAATGGAGACGAGGAAAAAAAAAATAACTGAAGCGCTCACTTTGAAGGTGTGCATTATTAGCTTTAGCGTCACCAAGAGCACGAAACAACTCTTGCTTCAGTTTGTTTTCAGCAGCCAGGGATTCTTCGAGATGTACCATCTTCTCGCGCATAATTCGTAGATCCATGTTCAAAGCCTTAGAAAGAATAGCGAAATAGAAAGATCAAAGGTTCAAATTCGAAAAGATATCCAACGAAGCAATTAACTTCAACCCACAATCATCTACCTCAATATCATTCATCTCCTTATATTTACGAAGTGCACACAGCTCTTTCTCAACATCATTCACTCTCTCTTCTCTGGAAACAGCCTCAGCACGAAGTCTATCCACTTCTTGCTCGAGTTGTCTTTCCTTTTCACGTTGTAGTTCAACAGAATCCAAACTAAAAATTAGATATAAACAACCAAGCATAAATATAGAGAAATTTTCAAAAGAAAACATATCCGAGTAGATGATAGACCAGAACGATGTGCAATAACGCTAATGCATGTACCGTTTTCCACCATCCTCTTTGCGGGCCTTTCGCTCATCCATTAGCTCTCGTTCCACATCGTTCTTCCTGTTCATAAGTTCCGCGTACTTCTTTTCTAATTGTGACAAAGAACTGCGGTCGATATCTCTCAACTTTTCCATCGTAATGTACCTGTCATTAAAAGAAAGTAAAAGTAGCAATCACATTTTGTTCCACACTTCCATCACTTAGAAGTAAAAATCCATGGCTTCCATATTCTTTCTAAACCTCTACTTCTAAGGCTGTTGTTATTTAATTAGCAAGACAGTTAGAAATATGGATATTTCCCAACAAAACTATTCTAGAACATCACTAAACTTTGAAAAAAGTGTCGGAATCTAACCATGTATGTGTGGTGGTAAACGCGTTAGCCCCGCAGAGTAATTAGCGTGTTCGGTCCCTACCACAGATAACAATGGTCCGGAGTTTTGTAAATATCTCAGCATCATTAAGGTTATATTTCACTAATGCTTTGCCATTAAAAGAGTAGGCACTGAATAAAAAGTAACGACATTGTCGAGAACTAGTTATGGATGCACTTAGAGAATTATCTCACCTCGCCTCCATTTGTTCAAGCCTGGATCGTAGTTGTACCGCTTCTTGCTTGGCGTGTTTCTCATTACTCTGGCTAACAGAAAGTTGTATTCTTGCATCAGCTTCAGCCGTTTTCAGTTGCATTACTTCCGCCCTTAGCTTTTCAGCCTCTAGTGTGGAAATACTAAAACGGACAAAAACACTCCAGAGTTTTGCAAAACTACAAATCGTGCCATTCTATTGTTTTGCCATAGTATTTTCGCCTTTATTTTGTAACTAATGTCTATTCAACATATATTGTTAAGACACAAAATTAAAATTAAAGCAAATGATGAAGACGTACCCTGTACTATCGATTTTAATCTACTTTACAAAATGTTAATTAAATGCAGCTCTTGACACCACGAGAGAGCACATCGATTGTGAACAGGAATAAAAAGAACGTATACGTACGTCACCTCCTTCCCTTATATAGATAAAAAAAGCTCTCGGCGTTGATCAACCCCTGAGGAAAATGAGCCATGTATTCGACTTCACCAAGCATGATTAGAGGTGACTGGATGCATATCTGGCCTGTTCAATGACTCAAGGTGGCCCACTGATGTTAAAAGTCAGTGCTGCTATCCTACCAGGCAAGTCTGGTAGTACTTTACCAACCGCAAAGTGATGGAAGGCTTGGTGAGCCTGCAGCGCTGGATCGAACCTACGTGTATTGCAGAGTACCACTAGCCACTGCGCTACAGGTGCCTTTTTTGTATATGAAGAATTATGAGGAAAAAAACTCTTAATAAACAATGAGAACGCTTAGTAATAAAATGCTCGAACCTGTTTGGATCTTGTACGGTTTCCTTTAGTATGCTAGAATCTCTTACTACCTCGTATGTTGTGCTAATTGCCGTTTTACCATTCAACATAGTAACTCCATTCGACTGAAACACCACGACCATTTCTCAACTATTTCGTCTTTCATTTAAAAAGCTCTTAAGTTACTTAACTATAAAAGCATGATTTCGAATCCGTGGACCCACTTTTTCTCTTTCGACAGCATTTGCAACAATGACTTTGTCTTTCGCCTTCCCACTTTCCCTCGTACTACGACCGCTAGTTTTTCGATTAGCTGTGCTGCATGTCGTCGTCGTTACGGACGTACGCAGCTGCTTAGACACATCACCATTGCTCGAACGACAGAGCTTAAATTCTCATGATGGTTCAAAATTATACGCCAATGTGATTGAAGAACAATCACTGTCAAATAATGATTAGAAGCTTTAAAATTCAGGAAAAAGGGTTTTTAGTTTAGAACGATTTCTCAATGAAAATATTGGCACCAAAATGTTTTCGTTGAATTCCCAGGTTTATGTATGACACAATAAAGCTACCTTCTTCGTGTTCTCCTCTGGAATGCTGTCCTCGTCGTCATCATAACCACCATAACTAGAGTCGTCTCGCACATCGTCGCCAGAAGAGGGCCATACTACAGCTGTCAACCAAACAAAAGCCTCCCAAGCCAAACGCACTACTGATAATCCTCCAGAAGAGGTCGCATCAGAATCGCGCCAACATAAACTTGCTTAAAAAAAGATCTTAAGCTGGGTAAAAACAATGATGATAACACACTCTAGATTGCTGGTAGGAATTTGACCAGAGACCAAAAACGATCACGCTTTTAGAAAGGAGTTCCAACCAGGAAATGAATAAGGTCGAAGAATAAGTGCCTTATCTTTCATAAATGGATCATCTTACATTTGCAGTACATCTGTACTCATTTGTGGGAATGTTTGAAAAAATATGTAGCAAAGTAACTCGAAAGTACTCATGAGAAGAGTTCGTTGTACCATATCACAAATCATCCTCATGTCAACTTCGCCGTATATGAGCATGGTTATCAGTATATGAACTAGAGGCCAAGTAACATGGTGCAATTTTGTTATAGGCTTCCATACCAATATCAGTTCTATGAAGATTCTTGAGCTTGGAAAGTTCGAACGATGATCGTGAAGCAGCACATGGTTTCGTTTCAAAACCCCTGGTTCTGAGACGACAATGTTAAACATAAGCTGGATGAAGACTTAGCTCCTACGCAATGAGCATCACAGCTCACAGCAACCCAACTCCTACGTAGTGAAAACCATGGGACAAATACACTCACCCTCACTCCCCTCGTCCTCTTCTCGCTCGCGCCGTTTGTCTGCTGCCGCAATAGTCGGTGATACTGTACCGGATGACTTGGTAAGAGATGTTGAATGCTGACTATGAGTGGCGGTGATTGTTGCTGTCGCTTTCGTACGACCAGATCCACGGTGTCGGCCAGTTAACGGTGCGACCTGAACGACAAGGATTCCGCGGTAAACTTGCAAATAAAATCAGAAATGACTTAAACGATAAGCAAACACATGTTAAATTTCCCAAACTATATGTAGTGAATGACATTCAGAAAAGATAAAATAACAAGACGAAATCAGTAATAGTTTCAATTAAATTCATAATTTCTTGTCAGTAATGAAATATATGTATCGGTGGTGCAGCTGTTACCTTCTTGGTGAGAAAATCAGCGGCTTTCAAACTATACTAAGAAGAATTCGATGGCTCAAACAACAAGATAAGTGCAATGAAAATAATGAAGAAGAAAGTACAGACGTAAGAAGTCTAAAGAGCTGGATTTGATGAAGTATGGTGATGAATACTTCCTAACAGTTTACCGCCTCATTGTGGATGGGAAGTGCTTCTGGGTGTCGGACTGCGATGTACAGCGGGAAGATTCATCGCCCCAGCAGGATTTTCCAAGCCGAGAAGGAGTCCGGCGTTTCCAGCAGGAAACCTAGTTGGGGTAAACCAATACCAGGATCCACCGCCATCCTAGTATCAAACTAGTTGCGCGGTGGCAAACCTCCTTGTGATCCACAATGGAGGCGAATGCCTGTGGTGGTGACGATCTGAGGCGGACATTGGCTAGTCTAAACTTGGGACTCCAGGTAAGCACAATGGTCAAACAGGCGAAACTCTAACAAATGTAGGTTATGCTGAGAGCCCACACAACCAGTGAATACGATCCATCTAAGAACCAGAGTGGGTTTTTATTGACGAACAGCATATCAAATTTTCTGCAAAACGCATTTCCACTGGAATAGAGAAAGAAGAAGCTTTTAAAAGTTTCCACTATGGCTATCATATTAGATACGAGGCGGAAAGTCCACTACGACGCAAACCCACCTTGCCCGATGTTCGTTTCGTCGTGTGCGCATGATTTATTGTACCATTAGAAGCAGATGGTGGTGGTGGTGGTGGCATCAACATTGGCTGCCCCGTTCCACTCGTTAATTCCAGCAGATCGCTCTCTTCAACACAAATTGTTTCATTACATCATGCAATTAGACGGACAAGTCATTAAGCTGACTACTAATTCTAATAGCTCTGTAATAGAATATTCTTAAATAATTAACAAGATAAAAAGAATGAAGTTTTTAGCACTGATCAAACCAAGAGGGATGCGCCATGCATTCGACTTCATTAATCATCGTTGAAGGCAATTGAATGCATATCTGGCCTTTACAATGACTCGCAGTGGCCTATCGATGTATCGTGTCGGTGCTGCTATCCTCCTAGATAAGTCTGGTGCTGCTTTGCCGACCACGAAAGGATGGAAGGCTCGGCGTGCCTGGGGCGCAGGGGGTCGATTCCATATGTATTGCAGGGCTCATCTGACCACTGCGCCATACACATCTCTTTTGAATAACCACTGATAAAAAGAAAATATGGTTGACACTAACCATCTTCGAGTAACGCATTCTTTGCTGTGTAGTCTTTAGGACCCTCGTAGACGGCCGGTAATGCTTCCGTCAATATTCGTGCCATAAGCTCATTCTGACGACAAACATCGTCTTGTCTTCGACGAATTCTCCATTCTCTAAAATGATACTATTTCATGAGAACATGACGTTATATAAGCCTGGTGATATAAAAACAAATCCATTCCAGAAATTCTCCGCTATCTTTAAAGTGCGAAGCATTCGTGTTAACTTCGTCGTCGAATATAATATTTGCATTATTACTGAGCGGCTTAATTAATCCTCTTGAGAACACAAAAGAGACCTGTGACATCGCGTTCATAAACGAGGAAACTCGCAAGTAGAATGTGTTTAGAATGTGTTCATTTTTGTATTCGAAATGACTCCGTAGAAAGAGAAAAAAGGTTCAAAGCGTTTCGAACATCAATCTGTAGAAAAACGGTAATCACTCTCCATCGCTAACTGGATATTGGTAGCCATGGTATAAAGGATAAATGATAACAGGACAAAGCTCTCGGTGCTGATTGATCTCTGAGGGAAGCGCCATGCATGTAACTTAACAAAGCATCGCTGGAGGTGATTGGATGCATATCTGACCTTTACAATGACTCGCGGTGGCCTAATGATGTATCGACCCAGTACGGCTATCTTCCGGGACAAGTTTGGTATCAGTATGCCGATCCCGGAGGGATGGAGGGCTTGGTGGGCCTGACGCGCTGGGCTCGATCGTATGTGTATTGCAGGGCGCCTCCGACCACTGCGCTACACGTGCCATTTTTAACCACGGTATACAGTTGCTAATTTTGCTTCTAAATACTAAATCTGAAACCAGTTCCGTTCATGAACTTCCTTTGGACTATCCATCACTAGTGAATCCGTGCTGAACTTAGTGTGGAGTTTGTACGAAGTCGCGAAGCAGTTACATGCGCGAAAATTTGCGTACAATCTATGTAACGACATCAAGTAAATTGCATTCATCGCAGCACAACAACACAGTGTAGTGACTCTTGGATAACGATCGATATGAAGTGCCGTATAACTCTCAACAAATGTAACACAGCGCGAAAAGGAAAAGTTGAGAAAACCATCGTCTAACAGGCCAAAAAAGTAATCAGCCTACTTAAAACTTTCATGTGAGTCACTAAGACCCAGAATATCAGAGGACGTTAGACCAGCTCAGTGTAATTTGGAGACTTCAGCAATTATGTAAACTTTTTATTTGTCGCCTTTTACAATTTTTTACGGCACGATATTATGTGTGATAGAACCACAATGATGTTGAGATATTTGCGAAACTCCAGATCGCGGATGTCCGCGGTGGGAATTCAACACGCTATTACCCCTTCCGGGGTCTAACGCATTTCGTTTCACCTTTCTCTCATCCCCCAGTTCAACAATAAAACCACCTCAAAAAAGTGCAATGCATACAAAAAATTCTCTGATTAAAACTGTGGCAATTAGGCCGCACTGAGACTTAAGTAACGAATCGTCAAGTAAGCACGTCTATAGCATCCATGTTTTGCAGGGCTAGTAAGCGAGGAAATAAACATCAGCATTTAGTAAATGTATTAAAACCATAGCAAGACAAAGCAATAATAAAACATGTAAAACAAAAGTGAATTAAAGAGAACTCACTTGAAATAATATCGTAAGCTGAATGACACTATGACTAGTGGATATCCTATACAATGTGCACCGAAAAATAAATTCAAACTCCGCGGTATTACAGGTGCTAACCCTTGGGTTTGTAAACAGCTGGCTAAAAAACGGAAAAAAAACGTGAGTAAAAAGTTATATAGAGGATTTATAACCACAAATAAGTTGAGGTATTTGCAAAATTCAGAACCGCAGGTGTCTGCGGTGGGTAACGAACGCGTTCACCACCGCATCATGCGAGTTCCTTGCTTCGCCTGTTTCTCAGGCAGTTTTCTATCACCAAAATGGTAGCAGGAAGCAAATAAAAAGTTAACATAAAGAAAGTGTACTTACGACAGAAATAATGGAGAAACGGTACGTCTGAACCGACTATTTCAAGATGAATACACCTGTAAAAGACGACTCCACAACACATATCTTTCTATAGCCAACCTCCCTTCCCTCTTAAGAAAAAATATTTGAAAAAGAGCGAAAATGAAATACTCACTTTAATCGTATTCCCGCCTCGAATGCAACAATAAATACCCAAAATACCAACGCTGAGAAACACTGCTTTTCTGGAAAAAATACACTCTCGAAATATGTCATAGCCTATCACGAAAATTATTGCAGTGAGCTAGCGATAACCACATTTATGACAAAATATAAAAACGCGCATGTAGAGCAGAGGTCGGAAGCACTTTCCAATACACACTGGATCGATACCCGCTCCCTCAGTTCACCAAGTCTTCCTTTGCTACTGGGTACGCAAATTGGTACCATACTTGCCTGGGAGGAAAGCGTCATTGGCTCGATACATCGGTAGTCCAGCGCGAGTCATTGTAAATGTCAGATATGCATTCAATCACCTCCAACGATACTTAATGAAGTCGAATGTATAGCCCATCCCTCAGGGTTTGATCAATGCCGAAAGTTTTGTTTTTACGACAAAATAAACACCAAGATCTCATCGCCAGCGACATAACTTACCATAAATCATAGCAGATAATGTTCGTAAGAATCCACCATGTGAATGCCAAATCACGTGCACCCAAACATAGGTACTGGCGAGAAACACCAAGAATTTCACAGGTATGAAAAGGTAACAGATCAAGTCTGATGTCGCCGTCACACAAACAAATAGCACGGAAAACTTCTGAAAAGAAACTGAATCCGTGTTTCCTCCATAACAATGTAACGGACTAGTAAACAGCTGTGTAAAAAAGAAAGTAGCATAGGTATTCTAACATAAACTGTCAAAAGAATGTTCTACTAAAAAGAACAAACCGCAGTATTATGGTTAGCTAACGTAACGACAGCATTATGGTTCTTATGAACAGCTTCATAGCCCTTGCGAAGGATGAGCCAAAATGGATACAGTAACTCAAAGCGAAATCCACACAGTATATCAAGTGATATGACACCGATCCAGAGGAACAATAGACGAACATATATAATTGGTGTGGCGATACTGTAATATCGATTTGTAAAACGAAAAAACAACGAATACAGTTGTATACATAAATGTACATATACGGAGAAAAGTACAACGAATATCAATATAAAATAAGCCTGAGAGTAGATATAACTTTCTATTAAATAGTAACAACCGAAATTCCCAAAAGTCGGCTGCGACTTTCGTGCAGGCGCAATTAAGAAACAGCTACTTAATTCTTGGTAAATTCAAAACTCTGGAACTTTCATGGTCATAAAAGGAGTTAGATGAACATCAGAAAGTTTTTTTTTTAAGAATTTATTAAACTCAAGCAAGCATCCAAGTAATTAAATTTCTTGGACGTTTAGCGAAAATCCTAACATTTAAATAAATTAAAAATTTATTACTAGATCGTTGGAAAAGAAATACACGATTCCGATATATATTTTACAAATGACATATTTCAGCACAGAATAAATTTTATTAATTGACACAAGAACCATTAGAATCTACACATTTTTTCCAACGAGAAACTAGTTTATATATTCCGCTTAGAAAAAACTCTGGAGTTCAAGAGGCGACGAAATAGGCCAAGGCAGTTGCTGCCTTAGGTCCATTTCTCAAGGACTTCTTTAAAAATCGAGATGCTTAAAGAAATCGCACTCAACGGGCGAGCGGTCTGACGATATGACGGATGAGGTAGTTTCGTAGTCCAGTTAGTACAGACTTTACAGAGTCCATAGTGCCTGTAATGTTGGGACACAGGTTATCATGGAGAACGACTGGTCCCTGTTGAGCAATGCTAGGAGCAGACCTTGAAAAGTATAGCAAATTTTGTCGATTTGTTGTACGTGCTTCGTTGTCATAATTGTTCGACTTCGTTAGGTCACTGTGATAAATTAAACCTGCAGCTGACTACGAAATGGTCACCATGACCTCCATCTAATGCAATTCCAGCTTTGTGAAGTGCAGCGGAGTTCCGTCGTGGTCAGTCAGCGTGCCCAATGTCACTGGTTGTCGTACAGGAACCACTTCTCGTCGAATTTCGGAATACGGTCGAAAAACGGGTCGTTCTGCTTGCGCAGAAGCGCCCACAATACCTCAAAATGGGGATTTCTTTGAATATCATTCAATTGGCGCGGCACCCATTTTTCAAGCTTCTTCGACTTTCCAGTTACCTTTAGATCCTCCGAAACAGCTGAGATGCTACCTCAAAGTTTTTCTGAAAATTCTCGAACAGCTGTGCGTGTATTTGCTTCCACCCGAGCCTTCAATTCATCGTCGTCAATAGCAAAAAGATTTCCTCGACCTACCTCATACTGAAAGACGAATTCGTCAAGATGTTCCAAACGAATGGTCTACAACGTGTTCGAGAACAATTTCTTGGCCCCAAACCTCATTAATGCTTCCAGCCTTTCAAACCGCCCTACGCCCAAGTTCGAATTCAGAAATTAGATTTTTCGAAACTGATCCTTCGGTATCTAAAATTCTAACTTCTGAGATTTGGCAAAAATAGTATATTATAGCATAAGGTATTAGAATGTAACCATGCAGAGTGGATGTACATGAAACAAGCCTTGCAGTCATTTGTGGCAGTCCAGCATCTAGTAAATACTATTGCCAAAACACACTCGAGAAAAACGAAGTTACAAGCTGTGCATCAACTTCTGGTCAATCTACTATAAGGATTCACAGAACACGTGGGATAATGTACAATAAATGAAACTGCACACTGATATCACGCTTGAAGAGATATTCGTTGAGCGTCCGGCTAAACTTTTTTTGAAGGATCCATTCTAGTCTATCTTGCTACTGAGAATAAATAGACCACTAACAGTACTTGCTCTCCACTTTAAACTATCACTCAGTTTTTTTCTCGCGTATTTCGATCGTCGTTGTTCGTTACAAAACTTACAACCACATGAAAAGAAAATTCTCACGCGCGAACTTTGTTCATTAGACAGTTTGTTTGCTGTAACTGAAAAACTCTCGAGCTCAGGTAACATCTGTGGAGAAAGTAGTTGAAACAAGACAAGCATTCTTTGATATGGTCACCATTATGGTTCGATAACGAGATTGTTCCGCTTTCTTAAAAAATAATTTTGAGCAATTCGACTGCTGGGCTCAAAATACCTGGTCGCAATTCATGGACAATCATTGATGTAATTATTACCAGTGACTACTATGCCGCATACGTTACTATTCCCAGTCTACAAGGCACTAAACTTGTAAAATCACAAGTAGCAATGCTCAAACTACATAGTAAAATCATGTCGAAACAGGTTCGCATCATAATATACTCAGGTTATCGTCATTTAGGGAGAGAGTTTGGTTATCCTATCCTATGCTACTACAACCAACGTAGACTGCTGAAATGGGTTCGGGTGATTGGATCAACAGAAACATATCGCACTTACGAGTAACCATGACTAGATACTTACAAGTAATTGATTATGTTTTCACATAGCAAAATCGTGTTTTGTTATACTAGTCTTAGGTAAAAGGTTTAGCTACCTGCAGCTCCTTTTGAACACTTGAATAGAAAATCATAAGTGCCATGCCCTACACAAAAGCTGTGAACCCTCTAACTGACGTTAAAGCGATAGTGTGATATAATAGACATAATTTTCAATCAAATCCACTTTTTACATAAAATGGTCCAAGCATGCTATGCAGCCTACTATCCAGAAAACTTAAGAATCCTTTCAAGGAGTCGCTAGCATGTATTTATCCAGCACAACACAACATAAACTAAACGATTGTTAATTTGCATGTAGAAGATTTAACCAATTTAGTTCAATATGAGTTATTCACGGGTTACCCTCGTGGGTTAATTAACGGTTTGACTATTGTGAACACAGAAATGAGATGGAAATCAGGTTCTATTCACAAAAATAATCTTCAAGTTACTTTATAGCAAGATATTCTTTATAATTTATGTGTTCAATATGTTAAAGCACATAAACCACACTACGTCAAATATATACTCATCGGAAAAAAAGGAAAAGAAACCAAAGTCTATCTTAAAAAAGACAAGAGCAAAGGGCGCACAAGGGCGGTACCCAAGGTCCATCACAAATAAAAATAACCTAATGATTGGTTAGGCATAATTTTTCACTAAGGAGAAAAAAAAAGTGAAAACGAAACATTCTCAATAACACCATTTCATTAAACATATCTATGACTATCTAAGCCTTTTTTTCTGGTTCAACCAACCAATTCCATTTCTTCTCTAAGCGGAAAAACAACCTATCAAAGCTCCCAGTTTGCATAAACAATTGGAAAAGTGAATAATGTTCAAAGCCTTTGTTTCATTGGTAGGCTAGCACGAGGTTGACAAAAAACTTTATTCGGCCGACGTGTCGACGTCATCGTCTTCGTCACAGCTGATGATCCGAGTTGCTAGTCCATTGTCGTTCACCTTTTCGATGTGGTGTCATCGTCATCGCATCGAGTCGGATCCTCTTCAGTGGAGCATCGCTCGAATGAGGCAACTTTACTTGGCTATCCTCTTTTATACAGGACGCTTGAGTACGAAGGACTGTAAACATCGGCTCTGATCATTTGCTATGGAGAAGACGAAGACGTCGAAACGTTCGCCGAACAGATATTTGGTAACAACCTCGCGTTAGCTTATCAACGAAACACGGTACATTGGACATTTATACCGACGTTAAATGAAAGAGTTGGTTTACGTCATAAAACATTACCCGTCTCTGACCGGATCTGACATACGGACACTACGTCCCTTCATTGTGCGACGCAGCTTCTGAGACTCGACGGCCCGTGCGCGTTTTTGCATGGCTGAAACTCTTAATGGTAAGGACAAGTCTGAAGCCTCAGTACGAAACATCAAAAGAATGAGCGACAACGATAGCAATTATCCATTTTTTTTCCAGAAATCATTAGAATGTAGAACAAGACTGGGGAGATTTTTATAACAAAGATGGATAATTGGACAAAAAAAAAGAGATTAGGCTAGTGAGACCTCTTCTTCTTCTACTTGTTTGCCATGAATGGCAGAATCAAAACTCACTCCGGTTGACTCAAGCAGCAACAGAACGAAACCACCGCATTCGTTCGCTTCTCAAACAGCTTACCCATTCATTCTCTGATCAAGCACACACCCAAACCCTTCGAACTAAAAACTGACACGTTTACATGCCTTAACGTCTTTAACAAAATTTCTTAGTCCATTTTACAATTAATAGCCTTTAAATCTTATTCACCCAATGTCATTGTTTACCACTTTCCCTGAATGACTGAAAAACGTTATGCTGAACAAACAATACACTCTCCATCACAATCATCACAATCATATATTCTGTAATGCCTAAACCCTAACAGCCCAAATGTCTCACACTAGCCGAAAGGTTTTTATCACTTCGGTGTAGTTACCTCAGAACAGAGGTTTGGCACTTCATCTACAAGACAAGCTAAGACCATATGAAAACCTACGAAAAAGCAGAATCTAACAAGCTAACCACAACCACTCTCTCGTCTAAAACAGCAAAACTAAAGCACTCAATATGAAGAATGAAACGCTTCTCATGATTCCTCAAGCATACGGATAGCCAAACTTGGCGGACGAAGACAAAGACAAACGGAGATTACATAAGCAGGCTCGCGAGTTACTAGTAATACCAAGGAGGATTACAGCTGATACATTTGACAACGGCCCAAAAGAAGATTTCTGGACGTTAAACGATGAGCAAGCCAACACAATGATGCTGAGATATTTTCAAAACTCCGGACCTCTTGTGTCTGCGTTGGGGATCGAACCTCGTTATGACCCTTTCCGAGGACTAACGCGCTCACCACCACACCATGCGGGTCTTTCGCTTCGCCTTTCTCTCAGAATCTCAAAAACAAACCAATTTCATCATCGTTATCCTGGAAAGAGGGCTCCAACTGTAAACGTATTGATCGAAATGACACTGTCTACACATCTACCATACTCAAAATGTTAAGTGAAACTGAAATGTGACCATCTATAAGTTTCCACTAGTATCTTTTCCTCTTCAATGCCAGAACACTTCAAAAAAATCAATAAAACCAAACTGTACACCTCTATATTAAACGTTATAATTACAAAAGAAAAACTGTCCATGAAGGATAAAGAGCGGAAATTTCAACGACTACTAGGTGCTTAACTATACAAATGCTCTCACATTATCAGATACAATCAAAAGTCAAATAATTATAGCATTAGGAGGAACTGAATATGGAACTCGAAGACACCTCAATTACGAATTGATGTGAATGCGTGGAACAACGAATCACCGACAAACAACTTCACTAACTTACGAGTTAGTAGAGTTTCAGATGGACCTGATATGGTGAAGTACTAAAAAAAACAATCGTACAATCGATTCAATCATGTTATCGATCGACCGAATCGATCTAAGCTTACGTGGAGGAACAACGAAACATTCGTAACAATAAATAGCCAGGATGTAACGTCTCGGCATAGAAAGCTGATAACTGAGCTCTAAATCACACCAGTTCTGGAGAATCTGGATTACTTCACATGATAGTTACCTTTGTGAAGGGGACCATTACCCTATAGACAAAGCAAACACAAAACTGTTACCGATATTCTACAATTTCTACAAGATTATTAGATTAAACTGGCGTACTCTAGGACACAAACTCCTCAAAAACCAATCAATAATTGTAAAATAAAAAGACTTACTTTCATTAACCTTAATAGAAACTCGTAGATCAAGTAAAAAACATAAAATATTGAAGGAATGACATGTTAGGAAGGATAAGATGATGCAAACAGGCCGGATAACTCGGCCACAGATTGGAGGACTACACAAAATGTCCTGAAAGTCACGAAATTTTGGGATTGGCGAAAACATCTCGTATGTAAACCTGTGGATCTTAAGAAATCAGAGTGACCCTAGTAGGGATAAGGTAGCCGAAAATTCACATGAAAGATTTGTGACAGTTGTTAAGGAAAGAGCAGCTTACATAGTTCGTAGCCCAGCAGAAGTTGCAATCAATCAATAATTGCACGAAGGTTGGTTGCACTCAATCGAAAGTACTTGGAGAATATCCGCTTAAGTAACGGACCCTATGAGAAAGAATGGTCCCATTGCCTCAGGGTTTCATTCATCTCGGCACCCAAGCCGGTAATCCTTTCCGTGCAATGCCAGACCACGCGATCGATAACCACGCAAAAAGGACGTGTCGAAATCATCATAAGCTCGACAAAGAAGAAGAGTAAGTTTAGCGCTTGTCTTACGACTTTACGAAAAATCGACGATTGTCGAGGTTCCGGATCTTCCAATCGATAATCCAGAGCAGTAATGCGGCTATAAAGCGATCCACCAAGAACGGTCTTCTTCAATTACCCATAAACGCTTCAACATCTCACCTTGGTGAGAGATGTAGTCCTTTGTACTGGCTTGTGATCTCCAAAAATGGGAGTGTAAACATTAGCCAAATATTCCCACTAATAGAGTGAACTGAAAGAAAACCTCTGCTAGAAGTAATGGTAATGTGAAGGTTGTAGACCACAATCCAGTGGTCCATACCAGTTGACGCCTGCTTGTGATGACAACCTGGGAACACCTATCTTACAGCGTTACCTTCTGGAGAAAAGAACTTGTTCAGTAGGCACGATACCAGTTAGACGAATGACTCATAATGATGAACCATCCAATAAATCAAAGAACGATTCCGTTCAGTACTCCAGAAAAATAGTCACTAACTGCGAGATGTATAGCATGAATGAACCGGGCACGATATAGCGCTGACCCTCGACGAGAGGGACGTGACGACGAGAGCACACACTCGCACGGGGCGCGCGTGCCCTGCTCGCCGCCGTCGCCGGCCCCTGCGTCTCTGCGCCAGTCCGTCGCCACTAGCGACTCTCGCCGTCTGCGCTCCGCCACGAGAGCAACAGCGTAGAGTTGATTGGTCATCGCGCCAGCTCTATTGCCGTTTGGATGGAGCAGTTCCAGTGGCCCGGTCACAAACGTGGTTCGTGGAAATGTTGGCGTTTGATAACTGATAGTTCTACTCGTTTGTAGAACATGACTTATTCGTCGAACAGCGTATATTTTGATTCTGGACGTTCCACTGCTGCTGTCAGGTCGATGTTGAGTGCTTTAAAAACAGAAAGAAAAACTGGTAAGCAGCAAGATATTTGGCTTTAAATAGCCCTAAAGGATAGAAGATAGAGCTCCCGGTATTGACGAATCCCTGAGGGATGCGCCAAGCATTGGATTTCGCTAAGCATCTTTGGAGGTGATTGAACGCTTGTTTGGCCTTTACAATGATTAGCAGTGGCATACCGATATATTGAGTCTAAGCGGCTATCCTCCCAGACAAATCTGATACCAAGTTGCCGGCTCCAGAAGGATGGAAGGCTTGGTGAACCTTGCGCGCTGGGATCGATCCCATGTGTATCGCAGGGCACTTTCGACCACTGTCCCATAAGCGCTCTTAGATAGCCTGAGAGAGAGGTTTTTGACACGATCGGCAAGTTAAGACGGTTACCACTGCAATCAAGTTCGTCAAACGGTAACTTTTAATGGAATGCACGCATATAGATTGCTACCGCAAATCGATCAATATTGCATTCTGACTGCGCAACAGCGGCTTGAGTTGCGACAAAGTTGGACGGGATCTTGCTACTTTTGTTGTCTAAAATTACCAGTAGAAAAAAACAGTACTGAGAACAGTTCCTCTGTCAATTACATTCATTAGTGCTCGTAGGAGTAACTTCTCTGTTCACAATTTCCCACCTATAGCGTGTTTAGTAGATCTTTCGACTCAAAATATGAAAAGGGCTAAAGTCCATATGCGAAGAATTCCATTAACTATTTGAATTTGGCACAGCTCAAATGAGATCTGCATAGATAAGTGGGGAAAATTTGTGTAAGTCACTGCGACTCTTGACTCTAGAAAATTCCGGGAAAAATTTCACCACTACTGATTTGATGGTATGCAGATTTCTTTGAGGTAGTCCGGGTGTGGACGAAATTCTCGCGGTATAAATCTAGTGAGGACCGACATATCGAGGCTGCCCTGATTCAAGATGAGCCAGTACGGGAAAGGTGCCCTGGTATAGATGACCTTTATAAATCTCGGACTACGCTGTCATTTGCAGTAACCTCGAACTGCTTTTGCTTTTTTCTTATTACCTAATTCACGCTGAGTGGTTTATGAAATCTAGATTCATTACTTGAATGGTCTATATTCACGAAGAAGGGGACGGACAGCATAGTGGTAGTTATGCTGGCTATCATGAACACGACGTTGGCTCGATACCGCCCCAAGCGCACCAAGCATCTCATCCTTGCGAGGTCGGGAAATTTGTTCCGGACTTGTTCGGAAAAAAATCACCTCTGCAATTCAATTGGGAATGCTTTAACTCAGCTCTCTGATGACGCCAATACGAATTTATTCGACCAGCATTCTGCAACATTCAGAATATGAAAATCCCCAAGTAGCAGCCGAAGCCACATGCGAAAGTTAGACCTTAGTGGATGATGGATGCGAGAGAACGAATCGAGTGTGAGAAGTGCTGCGATACGCACAGTAGGCGTGATGACGGGTCGTACAAAATGAAATAAAAAAGTGTTCACGAAGAACTCCCTTGAAGTCCTCAGGTAGTTAACGGGTAGTCATCACAGACTGCCAGCCACCATTTTTAATCTGTTGCAGAATCCTACAACGTCGCCGATTCCTGGTGTTGATTGACTTCTCGTTAGGATGTCGGATATAATTATGTTCTCAGACTCATTCAGACTTCCTGTAGGTGAGCCCCTGCTGTGCATCACAGCTTCTGGAACTTTCGAATCCGTCGACACGGCGACATAAACCATTGAAAGGGTATACCGTAAAATTCCTACTAAACATTTCGTGAGAATGCACGGAAATTTTAATATGCATGATTTCTTCTCCGGCAGCCTGTTCTTCAGTCTCTATGAGGTCTATATGAAAATATGTAAAAAACCTCTATAGATTCAGAACTGACAATAGGGGAATGTACTGAAAGGTTCCGAACTTCGATCCGCGTTCTACCTAATTCACATTGTATACAGCATAGTACGACCGGTCAAACATCATAGAGGGGAAGTTTTGGTAGTGTACAATCGTCATAGACGATAACAATTCGAATGTTTTCGCAACTCTTTAAACTATAGTCTGTGTGAAATGATTGCCTTACTCTTTGAAACAGTACTGCTTTCAGTATGCTTTTGGAAGGCTCATCAGTTCATACGATACCAGCGTGGATAGTGTTTACTAGGAACATGATTTATGCTGTTCAGCGTGCTATGACAGACCGACAAACAAAAAGAGAAAGTGCAGGAAACCTCTACGAAAATACCACTAGTAGTGATCCAGTATCTATTAAGAAGAATACGGTAACAATTCTCGAATAAGAAGAGTGGAACTCCCATTGAGAATGCATTTTATGCACTTTAGTTTACATGTTTACATTTCTGGCCACTTTCTTTACCCCTATATTTCGAGGAATTTCGATGTATTTTGTATTTTTTTGTGAGCTGATCATAGCTTAGTAAAGGAATGTACTGTATGCTGAATATCTCTCAGTGATAATGTTGATGTTTCAGGAACATCGGAAACGGCCGGCACTCAAATTATAGTTCTCATCGGGTTTTTCAGCGTTCAGCTATGAGGAAAAATTGTCAATTATCTGGATTACGATGATTACCAGATACGTGCAAGGCGTAAAACGTAATAGCGGAATCAATCATGCGTTTTACAGCATGAACGTCAGCCAGGTTTCGATGTGTATTGAGAGAAAAGATGGCAACATTACGATACTACAAGTTTCTATAACGTTTATACTATTCTTTGGAGAGAACTCGAACCAACATGCACACCTCTACAGTTCTCGACGACCCAGCCACGAACGGAACGGAAGCGGAACGGAATGGAACGGATGTGTGGGAAGAAAGTGAGTGTAAAACAGCGCAGAGTCACAATGTATGATGTGCTTATCGATCGACGCGACTGACTAGATTGTGGCCAATCGATACGTAATATATGCACTGTGTCGCCTGTCAGGTCCTTTATCGACTACGCTATCAACCTTAAATAGCTGAGCGGTAGTGTCATACTTCATCACTAAATTTAGAGATTTCTAGTGATCAAGGTAGCTTGCTTTATAGCAATTTAACTGTGCAAAACATGTTCATTATTGACTTCAGACTGTACAAGAACTCAAATACAAATGTTTTTTTAAGCCCCGATGATGCTGAGATATTTGCGGGACTCCAGACCGCAGGTGTCTGCGGTGGGGATCGAACACGATATTACCGTTTTCGGGGGTTATCCCGTTCATCACCACACCATGCAGGTCCTTCGTTTCGACTTTCTCTCTATCGTGTTTTATCGGTGCTATGAGCAATCACCCGTCAACGGGATTAATTTGGTGAGTGCAAATCCGCATTGAACCCAGTTAAGTTTAAGTTAAACCGTAGTTGATCCTCGCTCGGGAAGGGTAATAGCATGTTCGATCACCACTGTAGACACTCGCGTTCCAGAGTTTTGCAAATATCTCAGAATCATTGTGGTTTTATCACACGTAATACCTTTCCGTGAAAATGGAATAGGCTGTAAATGAAAAGTGATTACATTGCTTTTTTTATTTCGGAATCTTGGTGTCATGGAGACAGCTGCTCCTACTGTCGGAGAAGCAGGTGACATCAGTTCTTCTGATGTAGGTGCTGTTATGCTTCGTCATTGATGAAGCACATATGTAGAAGAACGACCAGCGTTAAAACATCCATATATTGAAGTATCAAGTCGTAAATGTAAGATGTTGAATATCTGACGTTGAAATGAACTTTAAACATAATGATTCAGAAGTGAATCGTTATGTTTCGTTGTGTTTCTCACTCAGTTTTTCAGTCAATTCGCCAAATCTGGACAGCCATAACATTCACTACTGAGGTAGAGCTCATATTCTGTACAATTTGATGATTCACTATGCTGGCACTATCTCAAAAGTACTGTGGAACAAAGGTGAACCAAGGTCTTGGTGTCTTAGAATTTGAACGTTAAGAAAGAAAAAGACTTCAAGATTGAAGAGATATAGCCGCGCGATGGATCATCTAAGCATAAGGATCTCTACTTTTAAGGATACTAGTAAGAAAGAAAGGTAGGTAAGAAATTGTTGCGGTTATTTCAATGTGGCACACAATTAACTATTACTGTACTCAAAGTGTTTTTAGGTGGTATAGCAAAACCTAAAAATCTCAGTACCCGTACACTCGACGAATTGGTGTCGTTTCCTTAGGGCATGGAGTATGAGCAGCAATATGGCGTTAAAGTAAGAAAGTTGTAAAACTAATTTGGAAAAGGGGAGAACGAAATTATATGTGATTAAGGAGATTTGCGCCGAATTTAATGGTAAAGTGAGAAGCATTAAAGACTGAAATGAATGGTGAAGAAGCGAAAAAGGGGAGGAAACAGAAAGCGAAGCTGAAAGAGTAAATGGGAAGAATAAAAGAAAACGATAGCATGGACGGAAGAGGGTCTAAACAATGAAATATAGAACCTGATAACCATTGTGGAATTTCTTGCAAAGCCTTCGTAACTGTAGGTGGCCGCCCATCTATTGATTCCTTGTCTCTTTCTCAAGGATTTGCGATTATCCTGGGAGTTCTGGGACGTTTCTTGCCATAGATTTCGGGGAACGTTGTCGTAACCTTGTCGAATTTGGAGTGAACTTCAAGAAAACTAACGGATTCAGTTCAGTGCATTTGTTTATAGTAGAATAAAATAATGTTTGCATTTCACTTGCTGCCTACCACAATTTTCACGGCAGGGTATTATGCGAAATACAACCACAACGATGCTGGGATATTTGCAGAACTCCGGAAAATAAATAAAAATAGAAAACTACCTGAGAGACAGGCGAAACGACCCGTATGGTGCGTTAGCT